GCAAGATTTGTTATCTCCTCTGTATTACCAAGAATCATCGAAAATAAATCTAGTCAATTCTGGTTGTTGTTGTGGTGGTGGTTGTTTTAAAAAAAGTTATGCTTTAAGAGTACCCCTCCTTCAAATCGAGCACATACTGCTGTCTGAGGAATGCAGCTACTTGAAGTGAGCACTAACATGCCTCTTGCATCAGTGGAAATGGATATTGCAATTGCTGTTTTGAAACATGTACTCAAATACATTGGGAGTTTTATACTATTTTTCAAACTGCCAAGTAGATAATGTCAGAATATTTCTGAAATGGGATACTAACATCAAAATATACTGCTCCAATCAGCAAGCATCAGGCAAAGTAGAGTATAAAACTATAGATATAGGAGACTACCAGCAAATTTCCATTTCCATTTCCTATGTCAACAGCTTCCCAACTTACCTAGTAGATTGTTTTATGTTTTCCAGGCAAATTCTCTGTAGACCACACGCTCTATGTTCAACTCTGCATTCGGAGCTGAAAAGAATTAGATATGCTGTAGTTTATGAAATGGATGTTTATGAAAGTACCCTTTGTTTCAATGGCTTCAAAACCTGACATGAATTCCAACTCTGACAGCATAATGAGAAAATAAGATGGTCATAGCAGTGTCCCAAATGTAGCCTTAACTATTGAGGTTCTCTTGTTGAAAATGCAATTCTCTGTCTAGATGTTTATGAATGTCTTCAGTGTCTCTTCTTTTGATAGGAGTTCTTTTTTTGCCCGTCTTTTACAATTCCAAAATATGAAGGGAGAAAGCTGCTGTGATATGCAAGATATAAATGCTGTGGGAGTTGCACCTTTGGCCCAACAACACCCCCAGTTGCATTACGTTAGCTTGTCTTTCCTTGTGAAGAAACTGCATTTCAAGCTAACCGCTTCTGAGAAGGTGCAAAATATTATTTTAAAAGTAAAATAGCAGATTAATTTGCTGAAGATCATGCTTTAAAAACAAACAAACCCACACCTTTCCCCAATTTATAGCACAATCACTTGTATGGCTACTGGAAAAAAACCATCTCCATTGAGTTCAATGAGATTTGCTCCCAGGTAAGTGAGCATAAGACTGCAGCCTAAGAGTGGCTTCCAGTACCACACATTGTAGGAAAGCAGCTATAAAATGAATTACAGTGTTCAAGACTACACCTTATGTTTATTCATAGCTTATAGTTTTCCTCTAACAGCACAAGGGTGAGAGTTTGCCACTAAATACTGTGCTATTCACACATTTCTTCTCACATTATAAACCTTAAAATACATTTTGCCTTGCTCTGGATTTCATGCTTACGTGTCTGTGAGGACAGTTTCTTGAAATTATTTATTTGCATTGCTAATCACACATGCATGCATACAGACACACTAATAATAACTCTCTAATGCCGCATTGATATTATTGTACCACAGAGGAACTACAAGTTTCTTCTTGTCAATGAAGCAACTTTTACCAATCAGCTGAGTGAATTATTCCAATAAGGTTTGGGTTTGGATGGAAGAGGGACAATGGGGCCAGATAATCTTTGATGATCTGTGGCAAAATTCTAAGGCACATCTTCTGTTAGCAAAATTACAGGTAATGGCCCATGAAGGTTAAAAAATAGTTGGATACAATAACTTGCCCTTAACCACCATCATTCCAGCCAGAGAGAGGGGCAAGTGAGGGGAAAACAAAGGGGCTGTGGCAGGGCAGAAGTGGGGTCCTCTGTAAGGAAGCAGTATCAAGGGAAGCAGGAATATCATTCTCTGGAGATCTAATATAGGGTGGTGGATATGACTGTGTTTTGGCCTGCCAGCTGCCTCCAGCTATAATTGAGCCATATATCTGCATACTCAAATATTTCAAAATACCACAATCAGTCAGTGACCTCCTATCAGAAACTGAAACAGCACCTGACACTTATTACCAGCTAGGGAAGTTGAGGTGATCATCACATTATGAATGTCGTTGGACTACAACTGTCCTTATGCCTGACCACCGATCATGCTGGCTTGGGCTAATGGAAGGTGGAGTTCCAAGATCTGGAGAAACAGATTTCCTATCCCGGCTGTGTAGATTGGCTGCAAGTGAACATTAAGCTCCCAGCTGACAACATGAACCCAGAACCCAGTTGTCAAAATGGTTTGACATTTACATAAATGCATCCTACATTCAGATATCTGATTTAAGTGCACATAAACTGGCTTCAGTGGTTTGTATCTGGTGTTAGTTGTTGCCATATTTGACACCGACAAAAAGAAATCTTCTGAAAATAAAAAAGCCAGAAACCCATATGATATTTAAGATAATGTTCTTTTTATAGACTTGTTCTCATTCTAGTCCTGTAAAACAGCAAGAGACTTTCCAAAATGCTCCAGGCTATAGAAAGCTGATATTACTCTTAATTGTTCCATAATGCCAGTATTCTACAGAGAAAATTAATAAAACATCAATGGACAGCAATAAAAAAGTCCAGAATCTTTTTTTTTTTAAGTATTATGGTTGACTGAAGAAAAATTGGGTCCATAGCTAATGAGAAGGAAAATGAATATGTTGAGAGGGGCAGAATGAAGCTTATTGTACTAATGGTTTTGATAAAAATGTGAGCATGTAAGTAGTGTGAGAAAGGCAAAAGAACGCTTTGAAAATTATAGGAGCTTGCTGGTCATATAGAAGATAAAACTGTTTTTGACACATTGCATTTTCAGGACCCTATTTCCCGAAACCAGAATAAACTGATTGGCAGATCCATGTTGACCCACTATGTTCAGTGGAGCAGCTTACTCGCAGGTAAGTTTGCATACTTGCATAAGTCTATACTTGCAAACCTTATTTCATAGTTTAAACTTGTTTATATCTTTAGTGTAGAGCTTTGCATATGCAATAAGCGTTGCATTGCTCTTCAGCACAGCAACTATAACATTCTGAATGCCAGAAAAATATATATGCAAGGATAAACTTTTTATGAACTAAAAAGTTAATTTGGATGAACTTGAACTGAACTGGTTCATTTTGTAAAGGGGTGAATTTGAAATGCAGCTAGTTCCTTTACGGATATAATGATCTTGAACTAGAATTAATTACTTCTCAAGAACTGTGCATGATTAGCACTGATGTATAATGGTTCATTCAAGCAGACTGTCAAGGTTACTGTTTAATCTGCTATACTAAGCTCAGCACCAGCAGGGGACTGGGCACCTCAGGCTGAGCTCCTACTGCCCACCATTTGCCCCAGCAGGCTGACATCAGATTTTAGTAGGTGCACCCTTGTTCATCTTGATTCTAGGTGCTAGAATTATACTGCATGATTTGCATTATCTTCCACATGGTGACGTTTATGGCCTTGCTCATGAGGATCTGGCTTAGTGCACATCTGCTGCACCATCCGTGCCAGTCTCTTCATTTGCCTGAAATAGTAGCAACCTATGCATAACCTAGGGACGCGGGTGGCGCTGTGGGTTAAACCACAGAGCCTAGGGCTTGCTGATCAGAAGGTCAGCGGTTCGAATCCCTGTGAGGGGGTGAGCTCCCGTTGCTCGGTCCCTGCTCCTGTCAACCTAGCAGTTTGAAAGCATGTCAAAGTGCAAGTAGATAAATAGGTACTGCTCTGACGGGAAGGTAAACAGTGTTTCCATGCGCTGCTCTGGTTCGCCAGAAGTGGCTTAGTCATGCTGGCCACATGACCCGGAAAAACTGTCTGCGGACAAACGTCGGCTCCCTTGGCCAGTAAAGCAAGATGAATGCCACAGCCCTAGAGTCATCCACGACTGGACTTAACTGCCAGGGGTCCATTTACCTATGCATAGCATGGAAGCCTCTTTTGCCTCATCCTTGGGATCTTGACTGAGCTTGGGTGCATGGAAAATGTGTTTCATGTCTGCAGGATGACTATATCACATGTAGCATGGATCAGTGTGAATTATTATTACCAGTAAAAATGGGTACATAAAGTATTTTTCCAACTGTAAAAATTACCAGCATCATCTCCTTCCCTACCCACCACTGCTGCATCTTTAAATATAAAATCACTTTCCTCACATATTTGTGTTTGATGTTATGTTTTTAAAGGAATATCCTGTCAATTCTGAAACAGAACTGTTTTATGTTGCCACTGAATTGCTTTGATCTCTAGATTAGAACTGATGAGCTGTAGCTTCCTTATTGCTGAAGGTTGCCAACAATTACTAATGTCTGTTTGTTTTGAGCTTATCAGAACTCTAAAAGAAAGAATAATGGCAAAATGTAGGCATAGAATGTCCCCCCCCCCAGCATGAATATGGAGCAAAATAAAATCAGTTTCCTTGTGTTTATTTTCCTAGGATTCAGAATTGATTATTTGATGCTTGCAATAAACAACAGAAGCATGCATTCACAAAGCTGTAAATAGATAATTTGGAACCTATCTAGTCCTTAATGATGCAACCAAATGTGATTAAAATTATGGGTTTCACAGTTCCATTTCTACACCAAGACAATGCTAATTTCCCCATTTATAATATCTACAGTATTGCATACAGTTTGCAGTGGCGAAGCCCCTGCTATCTATTGGCTAAGCTGGTGGTGTAATAGTGTGGAATGTTCACAAATGTTCCAACTTTTCAGGGAACAAAGATGTCAGATTGTTTGCAATCCATCTTTTGTAATGAAAGAAAAAGATTAAAGTAGGAACAGGAAAAGCTTTCTGGGAAGATAGAAGAATGAGGAGAAGTTCCAGGAGCCAATACTAAAATAGTATTGAGGCAAAGCCTCACACAGGGACTAGGAACAGGAAAAACAGTACATCATAATCAACATGCAATAACCAAAAGAAGTATGCTTTCATAAAACTGAAAATAAATAATTTGGAAGCTCTCTAGATGGCTGCTCCTGACATCTGAAGCAACCCTAAGAGGGCAACCGAAGCCCAAAACTAAAACAAAAATTGGTGGCAACAACTTCACATGTTTATTTTACCTAGTCAGATAATTCCACAGTTTCAGCTTTCCACTCAAATCTTTATTTGCAGTGCAATCCTGTACAGGTCTACTCAGAAGTGAGTTCAGTTGGGTTCACTCCCAGGTAAGTGCTATAGGATTGCAGCCTTAACAACTCTTTAGCCAGAGTTCAGTTTAATTTCTGGTATTTTGTTGCTACCATTGTTGTGCGTATGCATGAAACATACATTTATAGTAAAATTCCTGTATTATACATTCTAGGAGTCATAACAGAATGCCAAACATTACTAATCTCTATACCCTGTTATTTTTACAGATTATCTCAAGGTCTGTGGTATGTAAAAAAAAAAATGAAAATGTTTATGAGGACTTTTGTGGGTATTCTGTTTCAGAGTTGAGATTTTGCCAAAGGAGGCATGATCTTTGACTGCAGGTTTGTGCTTTCTCTTACCCAGTAGCTAAACCCACTCTCTTTCTCTGACACCACCCAGAATATTTAGTCCATAGAGACGCCACTGTCTCATCCAGTTTCCTAATTTAGACTGAGGGAGAAATTTGCAACGGGAATAGCTGGGGGTGCTTGATATCAATCCTGTGAAGGAAGGGGATGTTGGTAAAGTTAGCATAATGGTGCTGATAGCTTTTTAAAAATTAACCTATTCCCCTCAGAGGTAGCTGAGCCACTGTTTTTTTTTTTTTTTTAAAGATTAATTACTACTCAGATTCACTAGTGTATTGCCAGGGATATTATGAAGTAAATAATATGGCACGATGGGGTGAATCCTGAATTACTTATCCCAGGCCAACTATTATGACAGAAGAAACTCTTGTTTCTAAACAAGTCATGTTAGTTCATGGAAGTAAAAAAACAAACAACAACACAAAACCATTCACACAAAAGTGCTATCTTTTAGCAGGAATCTTTTGAGATCCATCTGATAGCGATTGCACTGTGGCAAAAGATTAACCTCTTGAAACATGTTTTACTTTATCACACTAATTAAACCCTTCCATTCTTAGGGGGATAAGGTGCCGTTCTTTAATTTTAATTGTTCTCAGAGCACATCTGCGACTTTTTTGTTGTGGTTGTTATCGTCATTCCCTCGCAGCTAACACTTGGAGCACAGGGAATTTTCGTGGAAGGAGTAGTCCAGCAGCTGCACAGCAAAGGAAGAAGAAGAGCTGTGACGAGGAAGCGAAGCTCTAAGCAGGCCTTGCTCATTGATTTCCTGGGTGACCTTGCTCAAGCTTCTTCACCTCCTCATGCCTCAGTCAGCTCAGCTGGAAAATTGGGTAAAGAGCGGGGAGTATTGGGGGAGAAGGGGGGAAAAACATCTTGGAGTTTGAAACTGAAATCTCCCTGTTAACTCCCCCTCCTCCCTCCAAAGTGAGTGCAGTCATTTTACACAGATGTAATTGCTTGTGCACTGCACACCAATCATTTTCTTGAGTTTCATGGCACAAGGGCTGACATTCCGTGACATGTTAAGGACCCATGCAGTCCTGTGCATTCTCTGTGATAATTGCCTTTTTTTCTGTGCCGAAGTTTTATATCACATAGCGCAAGTTAATGGGGCTAGGTCCACTTCTGTATTCTCTAATCAAAAGGGCAAGGATTAATAACAAATCTAGAATCATAGAATTGTAGGGTTGAAAGGGACCCGAGGATCATCTAATCTAACCCCCTGCAATGCAGGAATCTCAACTTGATCATACATGGCTGATGGCCATCCAACCTCTGCTTAAAAACCTCCAAGGAAGGAGGGTCCACCACTTCCTGTGGGTGTCTGTCCCACTGTTGAACAGCTCTTGCTGTCAGAAAGTTCTTTGTGATGTTTAGTTAGAATATCCTTTCTTTAACTTGAGTCAATTGGTTCAAGTCCTACCTTACAGAGCAGGAGAAAACAAGCTTCTTCCATCCTCCATGCGACAGCCCTTTAGATTTTTGAAGATGGCTATCATATCTCCTCTCAGTCTCCTCTTTAACAGGCTAAACATATCCAGTTATGTCAACTATTCCTCATAAGCAGTGCTTTTCTTCTGAGGCTACTCAAGGGTACATAGTACCGGCATTTTTTGCCCCCCAAATGTTTAAAGTATGGCACTGACTGTAACAACTTGATGGTGTGCACCAGCACTATTTTTTACAAAACAAAACACTACTAATAAAACTTGATTTCCAGACCCTTTATTATCTTGGTTGCCCTTATCTGCACAAGTTCAAGCTTGTCAATATCCTTCTTTAATTGTGGACACAGTATTCTAGGTATGGTCTGCCAAGGCAGAATACAGCAGGACTATTACTTCGATTGATCTGGATGCTATACTTCTGTTGATGCAGCCTAGAATAAACTGCTGCATCACAATTTTGACTCTTACAGTTTACTAAGACCCCTAGATCCTTTTCACAGGTACTACTGATAGTACAGGTGCCCTCCACCTTATATCTGAACAACAACAGCAATTGTTGTTGTTATTAGTATTATTTTACTCACTGAAGAAATGACTTAGAAGTTCTCCATGTGTGCTCCACACAAAAATAATATATGCTAAAACATGCCAGCAGAGTGTGAACCAAGGATTCCCAAACTGTGGTCCCTGGACCACCAGCGATCCATGAGCTTCAGGTGGTCTGTGGTGTATTTGTAAAAATACAAATCATACAGTATTTAGCACAGTGAATTACAAAAGCCAGAAAAATAATTTTGCCAACCCTGGCTACCACTTCACTGGATATTGTTGTTGCTGTTGTTGTATTGTAATGTTTTATTGTGTAAACCCCCTGGGATTATCACTGTTTTTTAATGAACAGTATATAAATTACCTAAAGAATATTGGATAATTATTTTGTTATGTGACCATTTTAAGTGACCATCCCAGAGCAAGTTCTTCGTATCCATTCATAAGAATAAAAGTTCCAGCTAGGCCCAAAGATTTGTCACAGCTAGTGTTTCAGTTTCAAAATAAAAGGGGGGGAAGTATTTGTTATATACCATACTATTCCATCTATAAGATGCCCCCATGTATAAGACCCACCCCCCATTTTTGGGACTCAGTTTTAAGAAAATGAGGGGAGATGGCCCAAAGTTGTTGAGCTTCTCTCCCCCCCCCCACAGCTGCAGGCAGGAAACAGTTCCTAGATCGCTTCCTGTGTGCAGCAGCATTGGGGAAAGTTGTGCTCCCACCAACCGGCTGGCTGGAGGGCGTACCGCTTCTCTCTCCCACCCACCCCATGGCACTACCCGTGTATTGGACAGCCCCAGTTTTTTGACAAGATTTTTTAGTCAGAAAACCTCGTCTAATACACGGAAAACTGGTAGATCCAAGGACATTTAATGGCTTGTGGAAAACCACCCAACCAGCCATGCCTGGTGTGTATGTTTCAGGTAGTCCCTTATTAGCTCCATCCTCTTCCTAATTTCATAGTATTTGTATTGGGCAAAAGCCAGCACCTCCAGTTTGTGTCGATGCATTTATATTACAAAGGGCCTGCAGATCTGACCTGCTTGACTTGGGAAAATGCACATTTCCTCTTCCTGTAAAATATTTCTCTTCCATCTACAATCTGCCTTTCATTTTTTCCCCATATTTGGGGCAGGAGATCGTGTCTGCCGAAGGCTAACTTTATATGCATGTCAAATAGCGTATTTTTTATGAAGTTAATGCCCAGATAATTATTGGATAAATCACACTCTTAAGTGCCTCTGTTTTTCTTAGAAAATTATGGGGATGAAATAACGCCAAATGTATTAAATTAAAGGTTCGTATGCGGAGGCAGATTTTGTACTAGCATAGTAACTTCCAAGCCATTGTGGTTTAAAGTGAGTCCCACATTGCAAATTGGGGGATGGAGGGGGACAACTCTTGTTTGCTCCAAATGAACCTCTTCTACAATGCAGTTAGCAGGTACTGGGAGTTCAATCTGGGTTGAGAACCTGGCATGGGCTCAGGGACAGCAGGTGAGATCTACTACCTATTCACCCCACACTGCGGTCATGAGCCACGCTGGGTACCCAGCACCTGCCATTTGCATTGCCAAAAAGGATCCATTCATTTCAGTCAGCAGGACTCTCAGCTGAAGCCGTGTGCAAAGCCTTCCACTTGTGGAACAGGGCTTCCCCCATCTCCTCCTCGTTTGCACCACCCAAAATTGGCTCTGGAGGGGGGACAAGGGAACCCCCAGAACATTGCAGGGTGGGGAGGAGGGATGTTCGGTCTGGCATGCTGAAATGCTTGTGCAGACAGAATGTTTGTCACAGCGTGATGTTGAATTTTTACCTAGGGATTTTACCTCCCACTGTCCACTTATCTGGATTAGGCCTGCAGTTTGTGTTGGCTGGAGAAGAAGAAATGCCAGCATGCAAGTTTGAGAGGAAGGAGGGTGTGGGGCTGCGAAGGAGAAACCAGCTGGGGGACTGAATGGCAAACATCTGAGGGCCACCTCTCCATCCCCTTCTTTAAAGGATTGCCGGGATGCTCACAATATTACTGCGCACTGGACTGTGGGTTCTTCTGCAAGGATCTGGGATTGCTCAAAACGCCAGCATATGAATGGCATTTTGCTTCCTGTAGAGTGCAAAGGGCATAGTTCCTTCTTTAGGGTGCTTTTGTGTGGAGGGGGAGAGATATTTATTGGGATTAAGAATTTTTATTTTGTTTGAGTACCTCTTCCAGGTAAATCAATAACTTTTCTGTTGCATAAACTTCTGAATCCACCCTACATCTCATCTAATTACTTGGATGCAACAATAATCTCCTATTGCTAATGCGATGTAAAATAAATTAGTGGTCTTTCCCCCCCCACCCCTCTAATGTATTTCTTCACAATAAAATAACTTGCTATTTCCTATTTGCTATTGGAATGCAATTCTAAAAAATAAAAATCTTACACTGTAGAGCATTGCTTTAGATTTTATTTCTCTTTATTGGTCTTGCATATTTCCCTTTTGTCACCATTCCACAAGACACTTTGAAACGCTCTCTAATCACTTGGAGCTGCAAATCCTTGGTATCATAAAACCATGAAAGCAAAAGATGAAACAATTCCTGATTAGGTCATCTAGCCCATCTTCTTGCCAATTCAAGATTGCTCCATGGATCTGGACAGTTCACATGGCCAGGATAGACTTCCTGAGCTGACGTAAGAGTCACAATGCTATCTCAGACCACCGATACTTGGAACAAAACTCAGACTTTGCTTCTTTATAAACTGATAGAGGTCCTCTTTCATGTTCATGTCTCACCAGAAAGGAAAATATATCACACACAACATATTGCTAGCGACTGATTCTGCACAATTTCAAGACACTGGTTTCCATTCTGCACACAATTAGGCTGCTTACATCCCTTGAAGATCAATGAAATTTAAGTAGCCTAACTATGAGCAGGACTGTGGGTATGTCTAAGCTACATCAAAGGATAATGAAGTAAATCATTCTGTAATTCTGTTGGTTCTGAATCTGTGACATTGATGTTCACCGTAATTACAATATTTACCAACATTAATATCTAATTTTGTTGCTTTTTCGTTGTTTTTGTTAGCATCTTAAACTATGTTTTAATGATATATCGCCTAGACTCATAAAACCCAGTGTGTGCCTCATTCAAGTCAGTTGTAAAACTTTTTTTTTAAAAAAAAAAATTTGCCTGGAACAGATCACGATGCAAACAGAAGATTAGAGGAGGTGAAAATATAATTGACCTAATTTTGCAGTGATAATAACAGGGAAGCATGGTCTAATCATGCTCAGTTTCTTGGTTCATCCCAATCTAACAGTTCTTTCTCGTCTGTTTGCAAAATACTTCACTTCCACCTGCTGGGATATTCTGCTATATATGTTAATAGCGCTGAGAATTGCCGTGAAGGCAGTCCTGTTTGTTGTTCAATTAGGCTAAAACCAGTGAGGTTTTAGTGCTCTTGTCGTTCTTTTCAACATGTGGGTGCCTTCCCCCCCACGCCACCACCACCTTCAAAAATTTAGCATTACCTTCATCACAGTAAAAAGTGTTTCTTTTAAATCTGGAACAAAGAAGTAACACGGCAAATTGAAACGATGTAGATGTAACTACAAAAGAGCACATTTTCCCTATGTGCATTTGTAATTCCTACCCAGTTTAAATGAGTCTTATTATGCATTCAGAATAAAAATGGAAAATATACATTATGGACATGTACATGAGGTAGCATTTCTTCAGGATTCAGAGATCACACATTTAGCTCCCTAAATATGACTTATTTATTAAATTTACACACACACACCTTTCTCACAAAGCAGCCCAGGGCAGCCAATAGAGCAGGAACCTATCTGAAATCAGTGCACCAGTTACAAACTGGTAATATTAATGATTATTTTTTGTTTACTGCATTGGTATTCTTCTACTCAGCCCTTTAGCAGGGAACCTCTATGAGATCCTTATACACCCTCCCATCAAGGTACTTGCTCGACCCAGATCTGATTAGCTTTTTACACAAAGTATTTTCAGACTATTGTCCATTAATATTGTAGTGCCAGAATCTGGCCTCAAATTCCTCACAAGTTTCCACTGCTAAAAAGGCTTCAATTTTTCTGCTTCGTTCTTAGGACACTTTAGAATTTTGATAGGTGTCTGTTTTTGAGTTTGCTTTATTCTGTGGTGGCCAAGTGTGATGGAGCCAGGAAGTCTGCTCTCGGGGCCCATTGATGAGGCAAGGTGAGGCAACTGCCTTGGGCAGCAGTTGAGCGCACTGCATGTAACCCTAACCCTCCCCTTGTTCCCAATGTAGATCTTCACTCCCCTCTTCTTCTTTGCTGGGACGCACCATTTTGTGGTTGGCCTCAGGTTTCAAAATTTCTTGTGCCAACTCAGTCTGTGCTATACACCAGAAGCCCCCATTGTGTGTATTGGCCTTTGGTGAGTTGTTGTCTCTCATTCTTGGGAGTGGGTCCTCTCTCTCTTATCTAATTTTGGGAACAACAGGACTGGCCTACCTTATAGGGGTGTTGCAAGGATTTCAAGATTATGTCAAACACTTCAGAAAAGTATTATTATGTGTGTGAGATCCATTCCAGTAAATATGTCTCCGGCACTCAGCTTCCCTCATCCTGAGAAAGCTTCATGTTCACCTCAGGGTGCCTTCCTCTGGACTTCATTGAAGTATGGTCACCCAAGAAGGCAGCAGAGTTCAGAGTGCTGGTGAAATGATTTGTATCAGAAAAGGAGAGACTCTCAAGAGTAAAATATGCACAAGAAAATTCCTGCACCCCACCCATGAGAATTTCAATGAAATTTACTCTCCCCTTAGATAACTTTTGGATGCAATTTCTTTTCTCTTTAATTTATATAGAGATTTTTTTTTGCGGCGGCGGCGGGAATGCAGGAGAAATTTCTTTTTGGCACACCACCAGTGAATATTAGTATTCTTTAAAGTGTTAAGTTTGGGGGTAGTGTAAGGTAGCCACCGTTTATCTATCTGTCATCTATCATCTATCTATCTATCTATCTATCTATCTATCTATCTATCTATCTATAGCTATCCATCTCCCCATAACTGGCATTTTATTGGTAAGTATTGTTCAAATGTTGTATCAATTAACACAACTGTTCTTCCTCCTCTGGTAGGTTTTGAAAGCACCAGAGCCATAAAAATCTTTCACCCCACAAGCATTTTCCTGCCACGGCTCTCTATTTGCAGCTGCATTACAGAATTCCGTCACAAGCTTATCATGGCTATAATTAAAATTCTGTGCAAAGCAACCTGAAGATCATCAGATTCCAGACATTCATATAAAATCTGTTGCTATGGGAGCTGGTATTGAATGGCAAGGTAAAGGGGGGGGGTTGGGGTGTGTGGAAATCTGTAATGTTACATTATGTTTGCCCTGTTCCCACTGGAAGGGCCCTTAAAATAAAGTCGCCTTTTATCTTTGCTTTCTGAATAAACATAAAACTGGATTTTTAGCGCAAAATCCTGATTTCAAGGTTATTGATGCCAGACTAAATTAATACAGTCTGTGCGATAGCATACAAAATCCTCAGCAAAGCCAGGGATACTTCTGTCTTTTGAATGCTTGACATTTGTTTTTCATCATGAACTTAAAGGTCACCAGCTACAGATGAATCAGGATACCTGCCTGAGTTTACATTTACATGCATTTTATTTTATTCCCATGTGCACTCTTTTTTTTTTATGAAATCCATCACTCAGATAAAACTGTATCCTCTTATTATCTAGACTGGATAAACTAGAAGAGTTGTCAACATACTGCCTTTAAGAACAAACAAGAGTTATTTTCCCCCCCTCCCAGTCCTCTATGACAGAGTGGTACGCAATATGCTCCGGACTATTGCTTTTTCTCTTGTTCTCATCTCCAGCTAAACAATTCTATTCACTAGCACTTAGCTTTGCTCAATACCATTGATGGAGGAGAGGTGGGGTGGGGAAAATCATGATGAATACTTCTTTAAGGTGCAGTAATAAAGGTACATAACTATTTAGACATATTCCCCAATTGATAATCAGCACACTCTAGACAAAAACAGTACAGCAAAATACAATTAGGATACATCAGAAATGCTGGCACTTTTTTGAATTCCAGTGCGAGTTTCTACACAAACAGAATCCATTAAGACATAAGGCAGGATCCTGGAGTTTATACAGATTCCAAAAGAGATAAATATTGCATAATACAGAAAGTACTCTGCCCTTTTCTACATGTAAGATCATTCCATCCCCTCCTTCTAGTTTCAGCTAGACATGTGACCCATCCCACTTTATAGTTCCCCCCCCTTTCTTTAGCAAAACCAAATTTTATATATATATATACACACACACACACACACACACACACACACACACACACACACAAAATACCTGTGGAGCTGATTGAGCATGATGCATTCATTTCCCTTGATTTTGTAGTGAGGGAAAAGGCTAGCATGAATAATTCAAAAATAATGCTGAGACTGTTAAGATTTAGTACTGGAGAGGTCATTGCAGTTGGGAGAATGAGCTAGGAGACTATTACTATTCCACGATCTTTGAATCTCAAGGTGACATCATTATTATTTCTCTATACTATAATGTGGTGCTGCAACCAACTTATTGCAGTGTTTCTCTCGTAGGGTAGAAAGATCAATTACATACAGACCTCAAAATGTGAACTATAAGCATAGCATCCAATAAAACTGTCATTAACAGTCACCACAATTTTAGCTGCATGCTTCCAGGTCAAGCTGTTTTAAAAATGATAACTGACATTGAAAGGTTGAATAAAGAGCACTCATCCTAAAGGGAACAATTTTTTAAGCCAAATAAGCGCTTTCATGTACACATAATGTTAATCCTTTTCTGGACTAATTTTTTAAAACAGATTTTACAGATGTAATACATTGATAGCAGAAGTTCACAGTATACTTTGGGGCGGGGGAAGCAAACACCACGATTCTGCAACTTTATGACTTTCAGGTATGGTAGAACCCAGAAAAATCATTCTCTACTGCATGTTTCTTAGGCCACGTACACTTTAGCAACTTAAAATACAACAAGGTCATTTCCCCCTACAATGCTTCAAGTTGTGTTTGATGTTGCTGTATACACCAGAAAGGGGGAGGGATGTTTTCACCCAGTGTACATTACCTGTTTGGTTGCTCTGTACCTGCAGACTGCACCCTTCAGCTCCTCCTATTCATGAAGTTGTCATCAGAGCATGCAAAATGGCTCTCTCAAAAGTACACACATCAGCTCAACTGCAAAGTGAATGTGACTTACATCTTCAAGTTGGGCGGAAGCTGGTTTGAAGAAGAATGCCTCAAACAAAAGCATTTCTCAAGAAGCTACAGAATACCTATGGATTGTTCCTAATGCCCTGTGTATTTCAAACACCAGTGGTGGGAGCACACTAGAGTAAATGTTAAAT